GTCTAGGTTGGTCATAACTTTTCTTCCAAGGAGCAAGCATCTTTTTATTTCATGGCTGCAGTCACCATCTGCAGCAATTTTGGAACCCAAAAAATTAAAGTCTGCCACTATTTCCACTGTTTCCCCATCTGTTTCCCATGAAGTGATGGGACCAGATTCCATGATCTTACTTTTCTGAATATTGAGCTTTAAGCCACCTTTTTCACTCTCCTCTTTCACTTTCATCAAGAGGCTTTTTAGCTCTTCTTCACTTTCTGCCTAAAGGGTGGTATCATCTGCATATCTGAAGTTATTAATATTGCCAGAGAAGCCTACAATTTTAGCATCATCTTCAGCAGTCTTCATTATAAGGTCATGGGGGGGAAATACAGAAAAGTGAAGAGAGCATAGGTATTCTACCATCATCTCTGGCTAAAGCTTTATGAGGCCTTGAGCAAAACCCTTCACATCATGGCCCCCCATTCCTCTCCCATAAATATCCATCTCACAGGGCTCTTGGAAGACTTATAACTCATCAACACAAGACACCTAGTGGGGTTAGGGTTAGTGATTTTTAAATAGATACATTATTTTTCAAATATTAAATTAAAAAAGGCAAATAATTCAGTGCTACCCATGTCCATTCATCCAGATTTAATTTATTAGTAGCAAGGAAGGTCCAATGAGACTCTAATGGAGAGCAGAGAAGGTTCCGAGAACAAAATTCATTCCCTGGGGGCCACTCAAGGAGAGAACCCTACAGAGATCAGTGGAGCAGGAGAATACAATGGGGAAGCATTGAAGATGCTCAAAGGGAGTTTTCCAATGGATCAAAGAGTTTCTGTTACAGTTCTGCTCTGGACTAGCCCTGAGTCCGGATAAGGATATTTAATCAGAGAGCAATTAACTGTTATTAACATCAAATCATGATTTTTACTTTGCAGGTGTCACATTTTCATTTCTATGTCTTTCTCAGAGAAACATTTTCCTCAGCATTTTCTCAAATTGGCATGGTTCTTTTTTTCTCACAATGATGTTGGGGGTTGCAATGATAGGAGAACTGACCCAGAGCTTCTCATAAGAGCAGCCCTGGTCCCTATGTTGCCATTGGACATATTGATAAACAGCTCTGGTATCAGATTGAAGATGTCTTGTGCTACAGATTATGAACTGGGGGCCAGGCTTGTGAAAGTCTCTGCAAAGAGTATTCTTTTTACGTTTTTATTGCCTACAAAATGCCAGGAGAGTTTCCAAGTAAGAGCAATCACTGTTAAAGAAAATAGGACATAAAATAAACTGTTATTACCTGCAAAACAGCTGTATTTCCTTTTCTTTCCAGAGAAGCACATAAACCCTCTGTATACTCTGACATGAGGAAATGTAATAGAACTTTTATTTCTGTAAACACTAGATATTCATTCTTGATAGGTAACATCGGGGGGAAAGTTGTGCTTAAAATTATATCAGCTGTTGTAGAATCACAAAATCAAAGAAGGGATCTCACAAATGGATCTGGCCATTCTTGGTCCAAGACGGGATGTTGTTAAGGTTATAAGCAAGTGTTTGCAGCGGGACAGACTGGCGTTCAATTCCAGCTCTGCCTCTTGGTACCTAGGGGACCTGGAAAAATTTATTTCTGCACTGCAAATTTCACTTTCCTCATTGTTGAAGTGGGGACAATAATAGCACCTATAATAGCACCTACTTTATAGGTGCTATTAAATGAAATAATAATATTAAATGAAGTAAAATATGTAAAGAGTTAAATATAGCACTTGACCCATTGGGAGCACACCAAACAATTCGTAGCTATTATACCAAAAGTGTTTCTAGCAACTAGTTGTCTGTCATTTTATAATATATAAAGGGGACCTAATATATAATTTGAAGAAATAAGAATATTTTCAATTGCTTACTTTCTCTTCCATTCATTTAAATCCACTGCTTTTCCTGATTGTTTTCTTTGAATAAAATGAATGATTTCTCAACACCTGTCTTATAAACACACCCTTCACAGATCTAGAATCACGATTTTACAGCTGTGAAAGCCTTCATATATAATTTAATGCAACTCCCTTGTTTTCTAGATGATGGAACAAAGTGTTAAAAAGATGACAGGACTTGCACAAATTCACAGGTATCATCTTCAACAAGACTCCAGCTATTACCGGCCTCTCCCAAAGCTCCTTCAAGTAAAAGTCTGAATTTGAAGCTAATTTTCACACTCTCCAGTCCTTGATCCCTGACATGAGTTCTCCCAACCACCTCTTATTGTCATTCTATCCTTTTTATGATACTTTTTTTCTAGCATGTTCCTGGTTCTCTCTCTTTTTTCTTTTTTTTGCTATTTGAAGACTGCAAGCTGAATGCATCACCCTATTGTTGTCTAATTACAGACAAGGGTTCCAAAGGATTCTTCCCTGACCCCTGGTTTTTGGTACTGCCCCTGGAAGAATCTTCTCTGAGCATACCTGGTAAGGTCATGCTTTCTTTCAACTTCTCATAGGTCCAGATACATGTGTATATTTGCTCCTCTTTCCTGGACTCTTGAGTCCCTGGACAGAGGAATTCTAGTTCCCTGCATCGATCACCCAACAGATCTCTGTGTAAGAAGCACAGAACAGTTTCTTCTTTCTTTGCCTGTGCCAATGCAACTCACGGATGTAGATCAAGGCACAACAGTGGCTGCCTCTGACTTCTGGAAAATAAAGCAAAAGGCAGAACTTGAGTTGAGTTTCTTCCTCGTGTCTAACCCCTAACTGGTTTTAAATGAATGTATCAGACTGCCCTGTTGTTTTTCTTATTTTCACTGTCAACTTTTCTCAGTAGATGCGTCTTCATATCCCATGGATACATATTCAAGTACATAATTTGGTATAAAGATTCCACTGACGTTCTTATTTAAATTCCAGACCCCTTTTCTTATAACTAAAACTTTAATTCTATCTTCTTTTGATGGAGCCAAAGAGGCATGGATTTGGTATGAAATTTTTCATACATCAGTTACACATTCTTGAAAACAAGGATGCTAAATTTTGAGAACTGCTTTCTACATAATGATTAAAACTAGTTTGAAGTAGTAATTTACTCCCCCTCCAATACCACTCGGTGGGTTAGCGGGGTGTGTATGGAAGGTTAGATGATTACAGAATTATTTTTAAGAAAAGATATTTCTAATTTCTAACCTGGGTTAAATAAATATAAACCTTAAGCTGGAGGGGGGAGGTGGCAGGCAAAGGGATGAGCACAAATTCCCCATCCATAAAAAACATCTGGCACAAGGAAAACAGTAGCAAGTCCAGATGGTACCCAGCTCTGACACAAGCCAGGGAATGCTCTATGGACAGAGACGCCATATAGATTGTGTGTGTGAGGAAGCACAAAATACAGTCTTACAGAATTAAAACCGGAAACCTTCACGGCTGGGTAGGGGGAGAGAACGAGAGCTTAGTCAATATTCTAACAATGACTACTTTGTAAAACCTTTTCTTATTACTTTATGTCTACACCTCTCCTTTACAATGTACTATAGGCACATGGCAGTTTTACACTGGGCAGTCACACTGGGAGGGGGCAAACGCTGCCCAGTATTGAAAAAACCAATTGGAAAGGCGAACATGCATGGCACCCAGTCGGTGGGCATGCCGTCTAATATGGTCTCAGGTCAGCAACTAGCCTCTTCCTGTTGTCTTCAGCATGCATTTGGTGCACAGCTCTGCTAAGATCAGCTGAACTGGACATAGAAAACAACTTATGGTAATCAAAGGGGAAATGGTGGGGGGATAAATTAGGAAGTTGCGATGAACAGATATACACTATTTATAAAATAGATAACCAATGAGGACCTATTAACATAGCAGAGGGAACTATATGCACTATCCTGTAATAACCTATAAGGGAAAAGAGCACTGTGCTATACAACTGAAACTAACAACACATTATAAATCAACTATACTTCAGTAAAATAAAACAAAGCTTAAGAAAAAAGATCTCTGAAGCAATTAAGCCCTACTCGCTTTACTCTCTCCTCAGAGAAGCTAGAGGTTAGTTATTCTCAGTTTAAATATTTCTCATTCAGGGAGGCTTCTTCAGCTGAGAGAGTCTGGTTTAGGGCTCCCATTGCACCCTCCTTAGCAGCCAGGGCCTTCTGTGAGAACTCACCACAGCTGTGGTCATTGGCTCAAAGCAGGTTCTTCCTCTAAGCCTGAACTACACAAATGATGGGAATACAACCATTTTCCACATTTAGCCAGCTCATGGCTGACTCTGCATCTTCACGTCTTCCATCTGTGTAACAGACACTGCTCTAAGCACCCATACAGTGATGAACAAAACAGACAAAACCCCTGTTTCATGGAGTTCATTTCTATGAAGGGAGACAAGCAACAAGCATGAAATAAATCAGCAAGGCTCTCAAGAGAGAAATGTTTGATGGTGCTGACAGCTCTGGAGGAAAATCCAGGAGGCAAAGAGAGAAGGGGAGAGTGGGATAGGAGAGGGGGTTCTCAGTTTTAAATAAAGTGATTGGAAAAGCCTCACTGAGAACTTGAGGAAGATCTAAAGAAAGCGAGGGAGCAAAGGCAGGCAACACAAAGTTGTTTAAATGTTGAGTGAACTAGTAAATGAAAGGACAAGGTAAAGAAGAGTGCAGTCACTGGTCTAGGGTTTCCTCATCTGTGTGGTTCCAGCCTCAGGAGCACTCTGCGAGGTTAAAAAAGATCTACATAAAAACCCAAGGAAGCAGCTCTGGGGTGGAGTTATTTTCTTTCTAATTTGAATTACATAACAGAAAACAAAAACTAGTTGATAGGTTGCAGAAATCAAGGAAAGTAAGAGTGATTAGCCAACGGTGGACTTTCTAGAGAAGAGTAGGTGAGGACCAGCGTGAGCAGAGGCGGAAAAGAAGAAAGGAATCCGGTGCCTTGGTGTCATGGGAGACCCAGGGGAGAAACTGACTTCTGGACCATTTGGAGAGGATGCTGGCTTGAAAGGCAGGCCAGAGAGAGAGCCGTTGGCACTAAAGAAAGAAATTTTGTGTCTGATGTCACAGACAGTTATAACCAGTGGGCTTTATGAAGCCTAATTGAGACCTGAGACTGATGGCCAAGGAGAGGAGATGGAACTCTATTAGTGCAAGAGTGGAATGGGGCAGGTGTGGTGCCAATAAGAGAGAGATGAGATAAAGGGGGGAAAAGGGCATCACTAACTGCAGGACATGGAGAGAGGCTCACAACCTGTCAGCCTGCTTTCATCTGGAACAGAAACTGGGCCAGATAATCCCTGTAGTGACTTCCAGCTCTAATCGGTTCTGACTTTGTTTATATTATAAAGGGATAGTATAAAGAAAGACATCTCCTTTCTGGATTGAATATTACCTCTTCCCATGGTTCTACTGTTGTTTCTGAAATGCAACTCTGCGTACCCGAGGCCGAATGATACCGAAATGTCGGAGTTTGCAGGAGAGAAATGTTTATTGAGGGCCCTGCAACGGCATGAGTGGCTTATACTTTAAAAATCCCAGACTCCCTGAAAGCTCCCAGCAGAACCCTTTTCTAAGAAAGCTGAGGGAGGGGCATGGTGAGTTTATGCCAACGTCTAGGTGTCAGACCCTTTGTTCTTGAGAAGTGAGTCATGGTCAGATAACCATGTTCCTGTAAATCTCCACCAAACGAACTTTATTCTCTGTTCTGACAAGAGCAGGTCCTGCAGCACAACATTCAACCTCTGAGATCCAGGACTGGCTGAGAGGCTCAGCAGGAGGCTCCCTCGGGGCCCCAGACCCCAGAACATATCTGGCTGCATCACCGAGGAGGCCAGGCGCCCAGGACCCAAAGGTCAGTTGGGTCAGGCGCTCAGGCTCCTCAGGCCAGCCACATGGCGGGGGCAGGGCTCACAGACTATGTCCCAGGCAGGCGGTCACTGCCACTAGGTCGCAGAGGCAGGGACTGGGGAGAGGCTCACCGCCACCTCAAGGCCTGAGCCTGGTCAGTGGGCAGCCTTGGCCAGGGCTCTGGAGCCTTCCAGGACACAGATCCTGCCGGCCCCCTGAGCCCCACACCCCACCCCAGGTCCCCTGCTGGCCCTAGGACAGAGGGCCCCAGGGAGGAGGCCAGGGCCCACCTNCCACCCCAGGTCCCCTGCTGGCCCTAGGACAGAGGGCCCCAGGGAGGAGGCCAGGGCCCACCTCTTACCTCACTCTCTGCCTGAGGACCACCACCCAGCCAACTGTCTGTTCAGCGTGCCCACTAAATGCTGCTCAGGGACAGTTGGTCACTTGAGGGAGGGGCTTACCGTGGCCCCAGCCAATGGCAGAGCAAGACCGCCAACGGTCACTCATTGACAGTTGTATGCTTGTGGGGGAGGGGCGCGTTGTAGTGTGACCGTTAGTGGTCTCGTGGTAACCGTTGCCTGGTAACGGAAGCCGGTAGTAGAGTACACCAGTGGCCATGTGCTAAGGGGTGTGCAGGCTGCACCCTGTCACACTGTTAACTGTTGTGGATGTCCCTAGAGCCGCATGCCAAAGCATTTAGTTGGAAATCTAACTTAGAAAGTCTGGTTCCTCGAAACACTAAAAAAAGAGCCACCATATGATCCAGCAATCCCACATCTGGGCAACTATCTGGAAAAGATTAAAATTATGACCCCAAAGATACATGCACCACAATGTTCATAGCAGCATTATTTTTAATAGTCAAGACATTGACTATTGACAGAGGAATGGATAAAGAAGATGTGGTATATATATATATATATAAAGGAAAGTTACTCAGCCAAAAAAAAAAGAATGAAATAATGACATTTGTAGCAACATGGATGAGCCTAAAGAATGTCATACTGAGTGAAGTTAAGTCAGAAAGATAAACATAATACTATTTATATGTGGAATCTAAAAAAATGATAAACTTATTATAAAGCAATCATTACAAAGAAAACTTATTATAAAAAATTAACTCAGATGCAGAAAACAAACCAAAGGGGAAAGTAAGGGGATAAATGAGAAATTTGGGATTAATATATATATACTGCTATATATATAAAATAGATAAAAAAACAAGGACCTACTGTATAGCACAGAGAACTGTATTCAGTATCTTTTAATAACCCATAATGGAAAAGTATCTGAAAAAAGATGTGTGTGTGTGTGTGTGTGTATCAGATTCAGATATCTGAATCTCTTTGCTGTACACCTGAAACTTGTGAATCAGTTATATGTCAATTTTAAAAAAAGATCTCTAGGATTCCTCTAGTGTTAGTTGCTCATGTGTCCAACTCTTGTGACCCCATGAACTGTAGCCTGCCAGGCTCCTCTGTCCATGGGATTTCCCAGACAAGAATACTGCAGTGGGTTGCCATTTCCTTTTCCAGGGGATCTTCCCAACCAAGGGAACGAACCTGGGTCTCCTGCAGTGCAGGCATATTCTTTACCATCTGAGCCACCAGGTAAGCCTGATTCTTGTAAAAGCACATTCAAATCACTTTGAAAAACACAAAAATCACGTGTGTGAAATACTGCAGACTTTGGAAATAATTTATTTTATTATATGAGCATCATGAGGAAGTAACCAAAAAGGTATACAGAAAGAGAGAGTACTACACCACAGGCATATATTTAAGACCAACCCTTAACCACATATGAAACCACAAAATGAGGCAGATGCTAATTGGAAGATCCATAGATCATTTAAAAGACAGCAGCACACAAACAACCCCATCACTTGGAGTCAGGAATTCCCCATCTTCCTTGTCTTCAGCTACACTGATTTTAATCTAAGTCATGTTGGGCAGGACTTAAAGAGAATTTGATGAGAAGATTGACAAAGATTTCTACAGCATAAAGAAATCTCAGGCAAACATTTTACATATACAAGTAAAGTGAAATTTATGAAGACTTTATTTTTTGTGACTACCTTTAACTCAGTTCAACCTTTCATAGATTATTATGAATTCATATGCTAAATTGATAGTTTGGTTCTGTTTCAGTGTTCTCACTTTGTGGGATGAAAGAACTCTTCCTAAGAAATTTCAAAATTAATTTTGTGATTTTATTTTAGTAAAAACCCAAACACCTTTGAGGCTAAACCCACTTTAGTACAGGCTTCCCAGGTGGTGCTAGTGGCAAGGAACCTTCCTCCCAATGCAGGAGACACTAGAGACACAGGTTCGATCCCTGGGTCAGGAAGATCCTCTGGAGGAGTGCATGACAATCCACTCCAGTTTTCTAGTCTGGAGAATCTCATGGACAGAGGGCTGCCTACAGTTCATAGGGTCACAAAGAGTCAGACAAGACTGAAAGGACTTAGCAGGCCCATCACTTTAGTACATCTGGATGTCCACTGACTTCTGCCATAATTTCAGTGCCTAGCTATGTGTGTGTCCACAGTTACTTTGGAATCAAATTGTCGCAGAAACATGAGAAAAGTCTAGAGGTATATTTAATATATAACAATGTCTGGGCACCAAATGCAGGGTGAGTGATATAACACAATGTGCTTTAGAATAGAGGGTTTTAGTGGTTTACATGGAGGAAAAAAATGATAGAATCAATTTTACAATTAGGACTGAGTACATCCCCTGGAGAAGGAAATGGTAATCCACTCCAATATTCTTGCCTGGAAAGTCCCACAGACAAGAGGAGTCTGGCAGGCTATAGTCTATGGGGTTGCAAAGAGTGGGACACAACTGAGTAACTTAGTATGCACGCACATAAATTGCAAAACTTAGTGGATCATGAAAATATAAAGCATTTTGTTCAAAAAGAAAAAGATAAAAGCACTTCTAACCCTCCCCCCCAGACTCTCACTTGAGCTGTTACTGTACTTTTATCAGTTACTTAATGTCTTAGTCCCTGGAATGTAGGGATACTGGCCAGAAAACTGCAGACCCTCACACACACTAAGGATTCAGATCACATGATGAACACATAACCATAACCCTCCCTACACCAGTCTTCATAACAGCACTTCAAAGTCAAAGGCCATAGGGTCTGTGTTTCAGTGACACCATACTGACATTATACTAAATAATCCAGTTTCAAGAAAAGGTATCATCTGTCACATACTTTGTTTTATTCATTTGTTTTGTATTTACTTTGTAGATTTTTTGTTACATTATTGTATAAGAAATGTCCCTAATTTTGCCCTTGTAATTATTTAAGTATTGTTATTATAAAAACAGGGCTTGTGATGGCTCAGCAGGTAAAGAATCTGCCTGCAAAGCAGGAGGCACAGGTTCAACCCCTGGATGGGCAATATCCCCTGGAGAAGGAAATGGCGACCCATGCCAGTATCCTTGCCTGGGAAATCCCATGGACGGGGAGTTTGGTGGGCTGCAGTCCATAGCATTGCGTAAGAGTCAGACGTGACTGATTGACTAAGCAGAGACCTTATAAAAATAAAAATAATTAAGTAAATCTTGGAGATCTATGAACTTTTTATTCCTTGAAAAGCATCAAAATTATTAACTAACATGAGCTGCTTCTATATTACCCTAAGTTCAAAATCAGAGATGCCACAAAAGTCGAATGAGGCGCTAAAAACCCTATGATAAATTCTTGGGGTACTGTGTAGAGGGAAAATGCACTGAGAGTGTGATGAGCAGTAGACAACACAAAGGAGGAGAGAGGCTGAGGAAGTGGGGAAGGGCTTGGTCACTGGATCTTCTTTCTCCCATGCCTCTTCCCCTCCCCATCCAATTTGTCAATATGGAGCAGGAGGAAAAAAGAAGGATGGAAAAGCATTTATTATGAAATGACAAATAACAGTAGTGGATCTATATTATGAGAAAAAAGTATACTTAAGGAAAAAGCAGATCATACAGCTAAAGAAGGAAAGTTCTTTATGATAAGGGTATCATTTGCCAGTGAAACCAATTTAATGGCAGAAAGTGAAGAGGAACGAAGAGCCTCTTGATGGAGGTGAAAGTGGAGGGTGGAAAGGCTATCTTAAAACTCAACATTTAAAAAAACAAGGATCTTGGCATGTGGTCCTATCATTTCAAATAAAGAGGCAAATGAAAAGGGAAAATCTGGTAACAGTGTTGGATTTCATTTCCTTGGGCTCCGAAATCACTCCAGACAGTGACTGCAGCCACGAAATCAAAAGATGCTTGCTCCTTAGAAAAAAAGCTATGAGAAATCTAGGCTGTGTATTAAAAAGCAAGATACATCACTTTGCCAGCAAAGGTCTGTATAGTCAACATTTCATGCAAAAAGTGAAGTCGCTCAGTTGTGTCCAACTCTCTGCGACCCCATGGACTGTAGCCTACAAGGTTCCTCCGTCCATGGGATTTTCCAGGCAAGAATACTGGAGTGGGTTGCCATTTCCTTCTCCAAGAGATCTTTCTGACCTAGGGATTGAACCCAGTCTCCCACATTGTAGGCAGACATTTTACCATCTGAGCCACCGGGGAAGTCATGCAAAGATGGGCACAATAAAGAAGAGAAATGTTATGAACCTAACAGAAGAAGAAGATATTAAGAAGAGGTGGCAAGAATACACAGAAGAACTATTCAAAAAAGATCTTCATGACCCAGATAACCATGATGGTGTGATCACTCACCTAGAGCCAGACATTCTAGAATGCGAGGTCAAGTGGGCCTTAGGAAGCATCACTATGAACAAAGCTAGTGGAGGTGATAGAATTCCAGCTGACCTATTTCAAATCCTAAAAGATGATGCTGTGAAAGTGCTATGCTCAATATGCCAGCAAATTAGGAAGACTCAGCAGTGGCCACAGGACTGGAAAAGATCAGTTTTCATTCCAATCCCAAAGAAAG